ATCTTATCTGGTTTGGTGAGTGAACTACATTCTGCTTACTGTATATTGTTGTATGTTGAGAGATTCTTGCTTGCCATTAGATTAAATAGTTGTATCTGCTTCCATCCTTTAAAATTGTTGTGCTGCAGGTTGAGGGTGCTGGAAAAGATGTTATAGATTCCACACCCAGAACACTTAATCTTTGGGAACTTATGCACAGGTCTTTCTAAGACAGGGACCAGAAATTGCATCTTTTACACCAGCAGTTTTGAAGGCTTTTTAAACATTTTGTGGATGAAACCCATCTAGTTACACAAGATTTTCTGAGTATTTATTGAATGGAGTGCTGAGATATTTGGTGCCATAGAGTTGTTTCTAGTACTTATCGATTTTAAAAAATTAAGATGTGTGATACAAATGTTTTTAAGTTCCATACATTACCAATGAGTAGCTGTTGTGGAAATTGCACATCTGTAGCACTGTTGGAATAGATACTCATTCAGCAATATTTACCAAATGTTTTTCATATTGGCTGCATTATTTGTTAAAAAAGATAATGCAAAAGTCTTAGTTGAAATGCTGTGTTGTAATCAAGCTAGCTTTATGAGCTCTGGTATTGAATGAAAAGAATCACTATAACAGTAAACAAACAATACAGTTGAAATGCTATTATATATTTTTGTTAGTGGAAAACTACTTGGCCAGTAAATAATGATGTGAGTTCACTTATTGTCAGTCTTATTATGCTGTTATATCTTACACATATTATAACTTAAGTGCCATGCTTCCCAATGACAATCTGCACTGTAATACTTGTTGTCTGCAATTGAGAAATTGATATAAATAGTGTTTTAACAAATGCATGGTGAATACATACCTTTTTGACTTTGTTTCCAGAGAGAGATATTTCTGTATTATATGTATACTGTTGCCTTATGCACATTGATGTTTTTTGCCACTGACCTTTGTATTTGTGAATTCTTAGCTGTTACAAGATACTGCACTTTGCTTACCAGACCTGGAGTATGACTTGTGGATGATCCTGGTGCCACAAGTTTATCCATAATCCTTTGGTTTCCAGTGCCATTAAGTACAAATGATATCTTTGTTTTGGAAATTTCTGATCTGAACATATCTTGATGATCTGAGTGTGTGTGAATGTTTTGCATTGGAAAGGACTGTCTATAACCTGTCTCAAAAGTGATCAGTATTTGGTGGCATCACACTACCTACATGATGCCCAAACAATGTCAAAATATAGTTCTGATATGCTTCATTTCAATACATCTTGCACTGTGGTTGTCAAGTGATATTCTGAGTTGCACAGTTAAAATGATTTTAATATAAGATACTCAGCCTCCGTATTACTACAACAGTTGCAAAATTTCAAATGCTTGACTGTTACATTATAGAATGTAATTTTTATATTATTGTTGGTTATAATCATTAGATTAACGTCAACCTTGGTTTTAGGCATAATACAGAGTATTTTCACTATATAGCCATCACATCCAGCCTTTGTGTTAAAGCTGGGCTATATAATAAATATAGCAAAGCAGGCTGTTACCTAAAGCTGTATGTTAGGCCTGATAGACCCTATGAGATTATTACTTCTGACACAATACTTTACCTTCGCTCACATAATAGTTTTCCTCAATTTGTGCTGCTCTCTATATTCGTAATTTTTGCCCACCACTAATCTTAAGGTTCCTACCTAACTTCACATGCAACACACCCTCCTAGTGCAGCTAACTCCCTCTATACTGGAGCTTACACTCATCAGTTCTCAATTTGGCATTCACTTATGCAGACATGCAATTTTTTGTCCTTACTTCATGTTTTTTACTGTAACTTTACTTTTTGAATACTTTAAATTTGTTGTAGTATATTTTTTTTTCTTTTACCACATTATGAACTTGCAGTTTCATGTCACAACTACTGCTTCTGGTATGGATCGTTCTGCAACTGATCCTGCCAGACTTAACACTACTGTGGTTTTGAGCTCTACTCTTTCACCTGAAGAGATTTCAGCCTTGGTGCTTGGGAAGTTAGAGTCTTACATGAGGCCAATAGCATCTCTTGATCCATGGTCTGATCTTCCTTTTCCTAGGGAATGTTCCCAAGAAAGAAAATTTTGACCTTTTTTTCTCTCCTGCTTTTGCAGTTCCTTCTCAATCTAATCCTGTGGATCTCCCTCATCCTTCCATGCCCTTTCTCGACAAGATCTCTCAAGTTTGTTACCTTTTGTCACTTTCCCCCTGTTTTCTATGATTCTTCCTCATCTCTTCTACCTTCTGGCCTGACATCCAATTATTTTGTTTTCCCCTTCCACAGATATTCGCATACATGCTGACCAATTCCTTTCTCAACCTTGTGCTGGTGCTGACATGCCTCATCCCCCACATTTGATGGTCATGCATACTTTAGCCTACCGTACATCTGAATTTCCTTTTCTTGATTCTTAGACTTTGGAATCACTTATTCAGGCATGGGGATCTGATCCTTCAGATTCCTTTCAATTATTTTCTGCCCAGTTCTCTTGTCTATGCATTACCCTTACAACTTTCCTTCATTATCTTTCATCTATTCATTTCACTTCTGAAGCTATCCACCATTCCTCTGAGGGGTTTTCAACAGATACACATTCCCTTTTTTCCATATTGGCACATTTGTCTTCTTCAGCTTTGTCACTCCATACGTGGTTGCTTTATTGTTGGGATCTCCTTGACAAGAATGTCATTCTGTCACATGCATTTGCCTGCTTCTTTCCTGTGTGACCTTTGTCTGGCTTCTTTTATGTGTCAGTCTGTTTTTGTAGATGTCCCTGATTCATTAGAGACTTGTGTAGAGGCAGCACACCAACATTCCTCCATTTCTTCTCTTCCTTCCCAGCTTTCTTCGTCCTCTCTTGCTTCTAATCCTGTTTCTCATCCTCCAGCTTCCTCTCCACTGCCTGTACCACCTTTCCATATTTCAGCTCCTAGTTGTCACATCTCCCATTATCACCTTTTTAAGATGTCAGTGACTATCCCTTGGGTTCAGGCTCAATGGGGGTTATGATGGGCTCGATTTACTCATCTGTGTCATCCTTCCATTGCAAATTGTTGGTTTCTTCAGGTGTTGATAGATATTCTGATTTTTTGTTTGTCCTCATCTCCTCCATTATCTCCAGTTCCCATTTCTTTCCCTCCTTCTCGGGATCCTTTTTATTGCCAGTGTCTTTTCAAGGCAGTTTGAATCTTTTGCAGAAGGATGCTATCAGATAAGTGCTCTTTCTTCTCCAGGATTTTATTCCTGGCTGTTCATCATCCCCAAGATGATATGGGATTGGCATCTGGTGATCATCAACCTCCCTCGTTTTACCATGGAGTCTTTTCTCAACCTCAGATGGTCATTCAGTCCTGGTCTTTGGATGACCAAGGTCGATGTCTCAGATGCTTACCTTCATATCCCTATTCCCCTGCATACAAATGTTACCTTTTGCTTGCTCATGGGGATCAAGTGTTTCAATTCTGTGTCTGCCTTTGCCCATAACATTCACAACTTGGGATTGCAGTTTCACCATTACATAGACGACTGACTTCTTTTGGCTCCTTCCCAGCAAATCTCATGCAAACATATCCATCCTACTTAAGGAGGCAATATGTTTGGGGTGTCTTGTCTAGCTAAAGAAGTCACATTTCACCCCACTCACTACCTTATTCACTTGGGACTGTTTTTCAACTCTCATCTTCACTTGAGGGATATGAAGTGCTTGGTTTTCATCTCTCACTGTACACGAGGCTTTCTCTCTTTTGGGGATTTGGGATTCTATGGAATCCCTAGTCTGTTGAGATCGTCACATGTGCATTGTCTTTAATGGGTACTGCACAATCAATGAAACTTTACTCAGGATACCTTGGACTCCCCCATTCTTCTTTCTTCTGCCCTACAAGTCGACTTTGCCTGGTGGTTTAACAGAAACAACATTATGGCTGGCATTCCTTTTCCCTCTCCTAATTCTGATCTTCATCTCTTTAAGGATGCATTTCTGACAGGATTGTGGTGTGGGGGGGGGGGCATACTTGGATTCTCAGGAGATAGTCATTGTTCTGTGGTTGGATCAATTATACATATAAATTATTTTTAGCTTCGGCTTCTTGTTGGGCATTGGATCATTTCTCTCAAGATGTACAGGACATTTTGTCATGATTCATTCTAACAATTTGACAATTGTCACTTACACCATCCATCAAGGGGGAACCTGGTCTCATTTGGTTTGTTTTCGAACACTCAGTCTAATTTTCTGGTCCCAATCTCGGTAGGTTTGGCTTATTGCCTGTTACATCTCGGGCACTCTGAATCTTGTCACCAATCATCTTTCTCATCCCAACAAAATTCTCCCAAAGAAGTGGTCTCTTGCTCCTCAGGTGTTCTAGTGGCTATGGTCCCAAATGGGTACCCCCTTCTGGATACATTTACCACCCACCTCAATGCCAAACTTCCCCTATTCTGGTCACCTTTTCTGCATTATTCAGCTCTTGCTGTAGATTTGTTCAGTCAGGATTGGTCCAATCTTTATCTGTATGCCTACACTCCTATCTGTCTTCTTCCCCAAGCCTTGTCACTCATTTAAACTACTTCATATTGGGTCCTTCTCATTGCTCCATTCTGGCCAGCCCATACATGGTATCCACACTTGAACCTTCTTCAGTCATCTTTTGCACTGCTGCTTCCCCTTTTCCTATCCCTCCTCCAGCAAACTCATTCCTCCCTCACTCATCCAGCAATATCTATGCTTTGTCTTCACACATGGGTTTTGTCTGGTCCCTTGCAAGGTGTTATGGACTCTCTTCACAGATAGCCTTCCTTCTTTCTCATTCTGTTCTTTCTTCTTCTTTGAGTATTTACCAGCATAAGTGGTGAATTTCATATCGTTGGTCTCTGCATCATGGCTTCTCTCCTTCCCAGCTGGCTGTTCCCCACCTTTCTGTACTTTTTCTCATAGTTATTTGTACCATTTCAAGCTATAAGGTGGCATTATCTGTTACTTTTTGTTTTTCCTATTTTCACATTATCTTTTGCTCTCCTGTTTTGGTCCTTTCACCTTCTTCATCCTTACCTTTAGATTGTGTTATCGGATTGGAATCTCAGTGTTGTCTTTCATGCCTTTGAGCCTTTAGCATCTTGTTTTTTTACCATCTTACCCTCAAGACTTATTTTTTTACTCCCCTTTATATAAAGACATCATAGGTCAGACATTGCTCAAAAATACCAATGTTGGAATCTTTGTTCTGTTTGACTTACATCAGTGACATAGATAGAGGAATTCAATAAATTAATTTGTTGATGATATCAAGGTCTTGGGTGTTGTTGGCTGTGAGGATGCTGCTGCTGCTTTACAAAAGAATTTGGATCTTTTGGTGAATTGAGCAAATAACCAGCAAGGTATTTAATGCATTTGGATTAGAATAATTTAAATTATAAGTATAATTTTGATGGAAACTAATATTAACAGTGTTATTGTAGTAAAAGGCCGTGGTGTTTTAGTTGATAGCCTTTTAAGCCATCCAAGCAGTGAGCTGTTGCTTATAGTATGACAAATATGCTTTATGGTTGTATTTACAGAAAATCTAATATAAATCTAAAGAAATTATCATTTCATTGTATATACGTCACTGGATAGGCTTCATTTGGGTTATTGGATTCAGTCTTGGGTTCCTCATCTTAAGGAGAACATTGAATTGTTGAAAATGGTTCAAAGGAGGGCTACCAGGATAATACCTGGGAAAGAAAAGTTGTCATACAAGGACAGGTTAAAATCTCTGAAGTTGTTTTCTCTTGAAAAAGAAAAAAAAAGTTAGAGGGAATCTAATTGAGGTGATCATTAAGAAAATTGATAGTAGTGATACTTCATCTTTATTCATATTTAATGGTGATAATGGTATGACAAGGTGATACAAATATAGGTTTCGGCAGTGCAAGGCAACCTTCAGCTTACAAAGTATACAGTTTTGTAGCTTACCTTACAAATGGAGGCCACTGACTAGACTGGTGAGGGAGAGATTGCTGTTGTTTTACTTCCTTTCTCTCTCTTGCCAGTACAACACACAACACAGAGACTTGCTCTTTGTGTTTGATACTGTAATTATGCTTTTGTCAATAAACATTGTACTTGTACACCTTTCAGCTTTAAGTCTTTCTTTCAGTCATTCCCAGTTGGTGATCTGAAAGATGCACAGTCACACACCATAGTCTGATATTAAAAAACCTCTAGTTAGTGGATCTAACTGACAACCTTGTGAAAAAATCATTTGCAGGGAAATACCACATTTATAATGTTTACACCATAATAAAATGACTAGTGATATTTTAATTTTATAAATCATCACCAGTTAATATTTGTTTTTTTTAAACACTCAGTATGTGCATTTTGAATGGTGCCTTTTAAACATGCATAAACATTACAGTTTAAATAAAGAAAAACTCGGAAAATATAGCTGTATTATGACAAGGAATAAAATTTTATATTAAGTATTATGTTGGCTTTCACCAGTGTTATAATTGGCAATATTAATCTTTTTAGAACTGTTGTGGCTAATTATGATTACGATCTCACACAAGTATCTCTATGGAATAATTCTTCATATATTTAGTTTTACATACTTGAAATAAATCTATCATTGGCTGAGTTTATATATATATTTGCTAAAATAGTGCCAATTGCATCTTAAGTGTTTTTAACATAAAGCTTTTTTAAACGGACTTAAAAGCATTCTTAAATTGTGACTTACTTTGGATTTGTAGTTAGGTGTAAATATCCTATTTCTTTTTACATTGTATCAGAAATTCTTATTCTTTATAATTATTGTTTTTGATTTATTAGTTTCAACTAGAATCTACCAATTTTTTCCTTTTGAAATTTGTCAGATATATCTACAACAAACATTTCTGTAGAAATATGATATGTACATACCATTCAAGAATTCAAGTGAATTTTTACTTATGTGTACAGAGGTAGTCATTCCCAAAAACCATCATCTTCAGAAAAAACAGAAACAGGAGAACCTGCCCAGAAAGATAAAGGCAAGCCAGGAGATTATCTTACACAATCTTACAAGTTGAAAAAATCTTGAACTTGACACAAATATCAATTGAAAGTATGAATATGGTATGTTCTACATAATATGTCAAAATCTTTTACTGTACATTATGTCAAATAAGAGAGGATTTGGATACACAGTGTAAGTAAAATGGTACACAAAATCAATTAGCAAATGTGATATCATACTATATGAAGTTGGAAATAGAGAATAAATGAGATGCTATAGGAAAAGTAGATATGTGCAATTATTTTTATGAGATGCAGTTGAGGTGAGAAATGTAATCCAGTTATTATTACTTATCAAAAAGATAAGGTAAGCAGGCAAAGAATTTAGAGGATTTGTCAACAGTAGTAAACCAAAGAAAATTTTCTTCAAGTAGTTATGTACATGTGAACAATTTACTATGTTATAAGTTACTGCACTCTACATTGTTCCCCAAACTGTAGAGCATGAACCCGAAGGGAGTTGTAAAGGATTTTCACAGGGGCTACAAAGATATAAAGTAATAAGAGCTTTTCATTTTTAATAAGTAACATAAACCCATCTAAATTGCATTCAGAGTTAAGTTGCATTCATTGTTTTAATCATTTTTAACCATAGAATGCCAGCATTAAATTTTCAATCATTAACACCAGGTGACCCTACTCTGGTGTTCTAAGGTAACATCTTAGAAAAGATAATATTAATGGGGGTCACAAGTATGAAAACTAACAAAGAAAAATTGGGAACCTTGACATATTACATCCAGTAGTCAAGAGACTTTTATATAGTTGTTTAATGATAAAAACATTTACAGCTTAAAATTTAAAAATAACACATCATAATTAGTAAAAACATCTTAAGAAAAACTCAAATATTTGGTTATACTACCATTAGGTTTTTGAAAGCACTAAAATGGTATGAATTGTAAAGAGTATAACATTACAATATTATTTACTTGTATGTTATAGAATGTATGTATTCTTTTTACAGGGACATCAATTGTGTTTAGAGCTGTTGAACTTCAAATTCATCTGAAATTCAGAGAATTATTGTAGTACATTGATTTATGTTATTTACAAATTGTTTATAGAATATACTTCTGGCATATAGAACCTTTTCTGTGTGGTTATAATTCACATATTATGTGTTCATTGAAAATATGCAATAATATTGTATTCTTGTATGCTCTGTGAATGCTTTGACAAATTACTTGTGATCTGCTTTTTTATGTAACATATACATATGTACAATATTTACTTCAATTGCACCTTAAAATTACATGCCTCAGTTTTCTATGTATTACATGTGTCATTACTTCTATAAGTATGTTAAGCAAATAAATTTTATATTTTTGAAAAACTTGATATGGTGTTACTTAACTTACAGGTATTACTTGAGTTATTATCAGTTCTTAGAAGCAAATAAACATCAACATCTGCTCTTCATTGTCAGCTCTGACTTCACAAAAGTGCTACCATGAGCTAAAACTCATATATAATTCACTAAATCACCCATCACAGCAGTAACTTTAAACAATGCTGTTTTTAATTTTATCGATTGTACCCTTTGTGAGCCAATCTGGTTTTTACCTACAACCACCATTTTTTCGATAAGTAGTAAGTATGCCTATCTTAAATATTTATTTTTAAAAGTTTTTTCACATTTGATTGATATTTCCAACAGTGGCATAGTGCAGAATGGCGAGGCCTCCCCTTGAAAATCATCTTTGGGATCTGCCCCTGGACATTTTGGAGAAAAAAACAACTGAATTTAGGGCCAGCCCAGGGTTATACCCTGAGATATTTCATACCATTTTAAAAAATACTCACTCATTGCCTTGAAAATGGCTCTGCACAAAAGATTTGTTTCGTCTTTTCTGTAGCAAAAGTGGCAACAGGGCTGTTAAATTCAGCAGTCGCTGCGGGTTATGGATGGAGCCATCTAACAAAGTTAATATGGGCTTGTGTAAGCTCCAAAGCATAAATTACAAAGTATCCCTGGCTACCATGTCATCCTTGTTGTGTTTTCAAAATTCTACAGGCTTTTGACATGTGCTGGATGTACCTGGATAAGTTAAAAAGAAGTGATGGTCCCAGAACTCACCTCCTCCCTTGCATCTCAGGGGCATTTGCTGTGCCACTGATGTCCAATTAACTCAGTTGCCCAGTTCACAATAGGTATTTCTTGTGTCATCTACTCAAAATTTTATTTTTTGGAATTTGGAACCAAAGGATTCATTCATTTGGCTGAGAATTCATTAAAGTAGGTGTCTGTGATAAATTTCAACAATAAACGGACAGCCCACAATCCACTTGTTTTAAAATAATATATTCAAAACAATTCAAACGTATGTACAAAAAATCAATACACTATTGTTTATCACAGTTATATCCAGAGCTTTAAATAATTATCTCATACATCAAAAGTTCACATAGGCTGTTTCAGTTACTTTAGAACCCAATTAATAGGATGAATTATTCTTCTCTACTCTGTTAGTACAATACAATCTGCAATTATTACACTTTAAAAGTCGTCACTTCGCCACTATACACTCTTTATGGTTAAACCCAAGATCACCCAGTCCATATCTATCTTTTTTGTATTTTCATTTTACTTAACTTTTAGTAACTTACTTCCTGTATCTGCATGTATTGATAACATGCAGCAAAAAAATCTAACCCTCTAGAATATTTATACATAATGAGAAAAACTTAGAAGCTTCAAGTAAGATGACATCAACAATATTACAAAAGCCTTGTACAACATATGACTCATACAGAATTACGTAACCAAACTTGTCACAATTATCACTTTTATAATAATAACTTTTAACTCTTGTTATGAAAACTAAATAAATATTAAGTCACTAAATAATAACTCTGGAACTGAACAGTCTTTTATATCCAACAATAAGCCCCTCTACATGAAAAATATTTATAGTATATTTTATACTAGGTACAAAAATTGTTTTCAGTTCAAACACAAAGTCTCCTTATATGGTCTGCATAAACATTTGCAGTTTTCTTGTTGGTCTCTCATTGCATAGGGCATCTGGTAGGACTTACTTGATAGGATTCCTTGTATTTGTCTTGATATTGTGTTGCATGAGATCTATTTTGAATGGTCAATCTGAGACTACATCTGTGTGCTGGCACAGTTGCTCCTGTAGGTCTTTCTTCTGCTTGACAGTCAATTCTTCACTTATGTTGATGTCCTTGTACATCTCATCTTACCCAGTGGTCTTAGGTCTAGTAGGTTTTTATTTTCTAAAATGAAGTCATTGTCTTCTGGTACAGCATCTCTGACACACAAACCTGCCATGTCTATCTGTGCTTCAATAGCTGCACCAATTAGGCCTTCTTCCCTCTCAAAGTATCTCTTCAACAGCTTGGCATCATAGTTCTTGGTCTTCCCATCTACTTTTGCTTTATAGTGCATTCTGTTGATAATGTTCCTTTCCACTGCAAGGTGAGTTTGTTGTTGGCTGTGAGTAGCAGAATTAAGACCTTCTGTTTGACTTTGAAACATCGATCTGTGGCATTTTTGTCATAGAAATGCTTCTGACTGCCTTTGATGTGTATAGTTTCCCCAATCTGCTTTGATAAATCCGGTACAGTACTCCTTTTCAGCCCTCTATTTTGTAGTTCCCTTTCCCCTTTGTCTTATGCTCGATTTTCTCCCAGGTACTGTCCCAACATTTCTGCAGTGAATTGTCTCTTCTGTGCTTCTTCCAGTTTCCATGGGCCTACATTTGGGATGTCACTTTTCAAGACTTGAAAGGGCTTGATATCTTACTTGTTCTTATTTTCTTGAGCTCTTGTGGTGACTGCAGATGCCTCATCAATCTCCTTTCTGTCTAGCTCTTCCAACCTTCTACTACCTGGTATGTTTCCAGCCACCAACTCATAGATTTGTGCCTTCATACACATGGTCCCTAGGTCTCTCATATAGTATGGATTGTCCCCCTGTATTCTTGCTATGGGAAACTTTCTCACTGTCCCATCAATCAGCACACACAGATATAACTTGCCCATCATCTGATCATAAGATACAAGAGTGGTTCTCACTGCTACAGTAATAAATTCACTATGTTACAATGTGGGTTACCACAGTTGTTTCCAGAGCTTTAAATAATTCTTTCATACATCAAAAGTTCACACAGGCTGATTCAGTTACTTTAGAACACAATTAACAAAATGAATTATTATTCTCTACTCTGTTATTACAATACAATATGTGATTATTACACGTTAAAAGTCAATACTATACACTCTTTATGGCTAAACTTAAGAACACCAAGTCTATATCTATGTTTTTTCTTTTCATATTACTTAACTTTCAGTAACTTACTTCCTGTATCGGTATGTGTTTATAACACGCAACAAAAAATCGAGCCTTCTAGTAACAACAATATTACACATAACAAGAAAACTTAGAAGCTTCGAGTAAGATGACGTCAACAATATTACAAAAGCCTAGTACAACTATTAAACTAAATATACAATGTACTCAAATTGAGACTAATAATGCTTGGAGACAGCTTGTTTAACATAACAGGAAATGGACAACGTTTTGAATAAGGTTTTGTCATCATCAGGTGCAAGTAGTTTACACTGACACAGATATATATACACCTGG